CTGGGCACAGCTGTCCCGCCTTATGCTTCCCGCATCCGGGTGCTGGCCCAGGCTCTAGGCACTCGTTCCGCCCCACCCCTAGCCAGGAGCCACCCTCCAGGTCGGCCCCACCCGGGGGCTGTGCCCCAAGCCTGCGGCCAGGAATCTCCTCTGCAGGCCAAGGAGATTTGTGACGGCGGGAAGAATGTTTCTCCTGAGCTCGCTCAGGGGGACGTGACGGCCCTTATCCGAGACGGACACTCAGGACGGGAACGGCCAGGGGGGCCTCTCAGGTCCCTCAGTCTGCTCCTCCTTGGATGTACCCCAGTGCTGGCATGGAGAGGAGGTGGCTGACGCAGTGGGGTCCCTCCTCTGACACACACATCCGATCTCCCTCAAAGGAGCCAGGGGTGGGGACCCCCAGGAGGACCAGGCCCCTCAGAGCCCCTCTTCCCGGGATGGGACTCGAGGAGCCAGCTCCGCTGTGGGCGGGAAGAGCAGTGGTTCTGCAGCGGGGTGGGCTGGAGGCCGCCGGGGCCTGGGGAAGGGCGCCCCGGGCGCCCCGGGCCGGGGGAGGTGGCCCCTCCCAGAAAGGTGGGGCTGACGCACCCCTAGAGTGGAGCCTTCTGCCTACACTTGGGTCCCTTCCCCAGGAAGACGCTGTGCCGGGAAGGAAAGGGGAGCTGGGACTTGGCACCCTCAAGCGCTGCTGTTTCTCGAGGGCCCCTCCCCCCGAACAGCAGGCCGGGGAGGCCAGCTTCCCCCTTTGACCAGGGGAGACGCCCAGTGCGCCAGGGCCGTTTCGGGGTCTGCACCAACCGGCGGCACTGTGGCTGGGGGCTCGGAGCGCCTCGGCTGTGTGTCCCGGCCTTGCACCCCCACACTGGTGGCTGGGGGCCGAGCCCGTGTCCACGCGGCTGCTGGGCGAGGGAGCGGCCGGGGGTCGGAGCGCTGCCCCCGCCCCCGACGGGGCCGCGGGCCGGGCTGCGGGGCTGGCCCAGTCGGGCGTGTGTGAGCCCTGGGTCCTGGTTGGGGTGCCCCCACCTCTGCTCACAGCCTCCTGTTCTTTCCACCCATCAGGCAACTCGAGACTCTCCACCACCTCCACGGTCGCCGGGCAGCTGGCGGGAGCCTGCCGGGCCGGCCGCCCGTTGATGAGTTTGCCTCGGGAGCCTGGGCGGCCGTGAGCGGAAGGCGACATGGGTCAGAAGGTCACCGGCGGGATCAAGACCGTGGACATGAGGGACCCCACGTACCGGCCCTTGAAGCAGGAGCTCCAGGGGCTGGACTACTGCAAGCCCACCCGCCTGGACCTGCTGCTGGACATGCCCCCTGCGCCCTACGACGTCCAGCTGCGCCACTCCTGGAACAACAGCGACCGCTCGCTCAACGTCTTCGTCAAGGAGGACGACAAGCTCATCTTCCACCGGCACCCGGTGGCCCAGAGCACGGACGCCATCAGGGGCAAGGTCGGGTACACGCGTGGCCTGCACGTGTGGCAGATCACGTGGGCCGTGAGGCAGCGGGGGACGCACGCGGTGGTGGGGGTGGCCACGGCGGACGCCCCCCTGCACTCGGTGGGGTACACCACCCTCGTGGGGAACAACCACGAGTCCTGGGGCTGGGACTTGGGCCGGAACCGACTCTACCACGACGGCAAAAACCAGCCCAGCAAAACCTACCCCGCCTTCCTGGAGCCGGACGAGACGTTCCTCGTCCCCGACTCCTTCCTCGTGGCCCTGGACATGGACGACGGGACCCTGAGCTTCATTGTGGACGGACAGTACATGGGAGTGGCTTTCCGGGGACTCAAGGGCAAAAAGCTGTATCCCGTAGTGAGCGCCGTCTGGGGCCACTGTGAGATCCGCATGCGCTACTTGAACGGGCTCGACCGTAAGTGTCCCCGCTGCCCTCAGTGGGGCGGCGGCCCCTGCACCCCCGGGTCCCGATCAGGCTTGCGGAGAGCTTCGCGTGGTCAGAACGAAAGTCCGAGCAGCCATCCGGCGTGTTCAGATAGGCAGAGGCTCCCCTTGCCACCCCCTGGTTAAACGACCAGTCTAGCCAGAGTGTGCCAGTCTGCCTGGCAGCACCTCAGGGTGAATAGGTAGGGAGGTGGCTGGGTGGTTGTGTGAGTGGGTG